TTCAGATATCAACGCAAGTCAAGAAATTTTAACTTGTTTTATCAAATAAAAGAGTGCCAATAAATTATTTGCTTGTGCGCAAATCAATAATGTCGATTCTACATTTCCTGGGAGCTTTCATCCAAAGTAATTTTGCAAAATTTCAGTACGATAGTTAAACAATTTCTAAGCAACTACCATAAGCAGGCAAATAATTTCAAGAATTTCAGCATGCATATATAGTCAAACATATTTTGAAGATGTAGGGTAGCTACCCGAACCACTTCCTCGATCCAATCCAATTTAAATAGGGTTCTAAAATTTGCTATTATGAATCTATATTATATTTTACAAGATTTTTCCAGTTCATGAACAGGTATACATATAATCTAATAAATAACAAAAACAAAGAAATGAAAATAGCAAAAGAGAATACTGGGTACATACATTACTCAATTGATTATACATACTGTAAAACAAAAACAAAAAATGAAAAGCGAAAAGCGAAAGAGAGTAAAAAAAGAGTAGTAATATTTTTTTTGTTTTTTTGCTTTACTACCATAAACAAAAATAAAAAGCAAAAGGAAGCGAAATATTTTAAATGAGTTAAGTAAGAGTAAAATAATTTTTTGTTGTTGTATTTAACATGGAATGGAATTAAAAAAAATAAAACTAAAAATTGTGAGAGATATAAGAACACGAATAACGTTACGTTACGTACTTATCTAGATAACGTTGTTTAGAAGGAAATTTTTCGTTCTTAATTGTTAACTAATTCTTAATTTGAATTTTAATCATATCTATGTAATTAACAGCGACACATATTACATCTTAAAATTTATTAAATTAAAAATATTTCCATTACTTTTATTTATCATTAGTATTCAAACCAATATGATATTTATGCATATACAAGTATATACCTGCATATGTATGCCATAATATGTACAAATTTTTCTAAACTTATTTTAAAATTGATTGCCACAATCCTGTTTTTACAACAGATAATACTGCTTATAAGCAAACCACAGGGGCCCCTAGTCATTTGTATATTTTAGTGCTTGATTTAAGTTAAAGCAAATTTAGTATACCCTTCGAATACACGTCCGTACGGATATAAAAACTATAATTTGATTAAGTATTTATTATATTTCGGGTTTTCATTCATATTCAAAATCAAACATATACACAAAATAAATTTCCTAAAAAAAATAAGTAGTACTCTCAAGTGTAAAATCGTAAAAAATAAGTTTTAAATCAGTTTCGAATAAAATGTTTAAGAACTAGAAATCAATCAAAAATATTTTAATAAAAATTAGTTTAATTATTTTTTATAAATTCTATAAAAAAGAATCATAATATTTTAAAATCTTGAAAAACTCCGAAAAAAAAAAAATTTTTAAATTTTCGCAGGTAACAGCATAAACTAGATTAACTTAACTTAACAAATCGATGTTTAGAATAACTTAGCACAAAATCAAAATTTATCCAATATTTGAATTTTTCCCATACAAATCTTATAAGCTCAACAAAATTTCATTCGATTTCGATAATATTAAGATGTTCAAATTAATTTTTGGATAAATATACTGTACTTTCGAAAACTGATTGCGGATTTTACATTTTTCACCATTTTGAAGAAAGTATTCAACCGAAATTTCATATATGAGCTTTGCTCGACCGTCCGCGAAAACTGCTAACTCTTGAAAGACATCAGGCATCAGCAACTGGACGTTTACTACGGGCCAAATATACATTTTTGCGTATATAAAGAGAAATAATTGACCGATTTCATTGAAATTTAATTTTTGAATTCCTCGTATTAAAACAATGAACATATAAACTTTTTGGAAAGATCAGGGCTCGAAAACTGATTTGCGGGCCGATTTTACATTTTTCACCATATCTACGGAACGAATTGATGGAATTTCTTGAAATTTAATATTTGAGTTCTGGTTAACTGTCGAGCATTTCTGGGAATTCGGGTAACACAAAGCGAAACTCTACTAAGAGCCAAATTTACATTTTTCTAGGTATGTTAACTATAAGCTTACTAATGTCCTAAAAATTGGAAAGAAGTATTTAACAGACATTTTCATAATATTCTGTAACCTTTTCACTTAACTAGACAATATACAATGCGGTCGGTTACGTGCTGACCACATCAGAGTTTTTTTTTTTGCAATGATATAAGAGATCTAGATTACTTATAAATTTATGAGCACTTGAAATAAAAAGAATAAATTTTTTGCTGAAAATATTCAAAAACAAAATTAATAATTAAAATTTAAAAACATAAAAAATTTTGTTTCTCTTTTGCAAATTAAAAATAAAATTTAATAAAACCAAAATATAAAAAATTAAATAAAAGTTAAAGTCATAATGAATGTATGGTTGTTTTTTTTTTCCAAATTGAATTTATTTAAAAAACTTTATATAAAAAAAGAAATTGTTTAATTAAAATACATTATGGTTTCTTCTTTGTTTTTTTTTTTCTTAATTTTTTTTTTGGCTTTTTAAAATCTGATATAAAAATATAACTTAATTTTAAAACTTAATTATAAAACAATGTTATTGAACAATGAAAATTAAACGACGAAATTAATAGAAAAAATCTAAAAATAATAATAATGACAAATTTTATTTTTTATGAATTATTTATGTAATACAATTAAATTTTGTTCGTATGTCTCTATTAAAATTACTTTGGTAAAATAAATTTTATTCAAAATTTCAATCATTCATACTATTCAAATATTATGTTTTTAATAATATTAACACATTGACATAAGTTTGGCTTTGAGAATGTAATTTGGGGCAACTAATTTTATTTCAAATTAATTATTTAAAATATTTTAATGTAATTTTTTGAATATTGCAGAATGATTCGAAAACGTCCCCGTCCTATATATCTATATAACTAAAATAGTACAGGGTATTGTGAAGATTTATGTCAACATCCGAAATCTAATCATTGTAATTAGTGTGATCAATTTTATACGACAAGATGAAAATTTTATAATATCGAATTGAATAATAATTCTCAGAACTTGTTTGTCAAATAAAACAAATTACTCAAATACGTAAATGTATTGAGGAATTCTTTAACAAGAGGATTATTTTATTTATTTACTTAAAGGTTTATTAGTTGCCTTTATAACCCATCTTAGATTTTATCAGGCTCTTCTTATTAATTTACTATTGCAATTGTTTTCATATTCAAGAAAACAAAATGAAAATTCAGTCTATTTATAAATTTGAAATGACATTTATATTATATTTAAATGGAATGCCATTAATATTATAATCCATAAAATTGTGTCTGCAAGAAGTAAATTAAAGAAGATGGCCTTTAAAATGATGTAGTTTTAAAAGGAGTAAAATATTTATTAAATAACTATACTTATTCAAATTTCAATATTATCAAACAATATTAATATTTAATGTAGAAAAATATGCATTATTATATGCCAATATGTTAATTTATTAAAATACAAAATTCTGAGGCAATTATTAAAAATTTTATCAATCATTTTGTTATTTATTTCAATTTATTTTAATTTTATTTTATAATAATATTTTTCTTTAATTTATTTTTATGAAAAACAAAACAACACACCAATTAATTTTTAATGTTAAAAATCCAATTTATATTTTTTATTAGTTGTCAATGTTTATTAATTATCATCGTATAATCGAATTTTCAAAAATCGAATGCTACTATCGCAAATTGATGCGTTTGCAAAAATTTTTGGTGAGGAGATGATTATAAAATAAATTTTTACATTTTAAAAAATAATTAATGGAAATATTTTGACTAATGAACCGGACTAGTTAAAAATATTTGAAAGTTAAGAAAATAAAATATTATTTTCTTATTTAATTTGATTAATAATTAATAACAAATTTGTTTTTTTTTTTTAATTTTGACACATTAATTTGACAGAAATTTTTGTTTTTTTTTTTTGACAAAATATAATTTTTTCTTATTAAAAGTATAGCCAATAATTTTAAAAATTTATCCAATTTAATTAAAATTATAAAGTTTTAACAATTATTTTATTATTAATTACCCATAAAATTTTTAACTTGATAACAAATATATTTATATTTTCTTTAATTAATTTAAATATTTATGTATTTCAATTATTATTATTTTTGTTTTAAGTTTTGTTTCTAATGAAAATGAACATGAAATAACAAAATATCGGATTTTATTTTAATATTTTAATAAAGAATAATTGAACATGATTGTAAAACGCTTTTAATATTATCATTTATATAATCTTGTATATAACTTAAAATTATTTGAAAATTAAAGAATAAATGTATATGTACGTAAGTAAATTAATAATAATAATATTAATAATTAATTCAAAATAATATTTTATTTCATTTGACATTTCAATTTTGTAATAAAAAATGTTTGTGCATTAAACGAACTACAATAGAATAAAAAAAAAATAAAATTTTTCATATAAAACTTTAAAAAACTTATACCATAGAGTTAATAATAATATATAGAAAAGATAAAATAATGGCTATTCATTTGAGTAAATAAAAATTATTAAAATTTTTCATGTAATTATAATTTTACTCTATGCTCATGATGGCTTATTCTTGGAAATGAATATTAAATGAGAGAATAATATAAAAAAGAAAACTGATCATTGATTTTAAAAATAGAACAATAAGCAATGAGAATATTATGACAAATATTTACTTTATATAAACAGAAAAACTAGACTAAATTTATATATAATGTGTAGTAGCATGCTTCAAATTTTATGTTATACTAATGTTATGTATATTTATAAATGTTATTGAAAATTTGGTGGATTAAGCTTCTTCACATATATTCATATATATATATATGTATATGTGTAGGTACAGTTTTCATTCTATTTTAAGGAATCATTTTTTTTTTTTTCATTATACGAGTACATTATATAAGATGAGTACATATTGAATTTTTTAAAAATTTCGGATCTCAATATTTTTTTTTGAATTTGAAAACTTACTACAGTTTGTTGTTAGGATTTTATTTAGAGTTTCCCCATTTTGAAGATTTTTTTTTTGTTCTTTTTATTAGTAAATATATTTTAAACTCGATTGATTATAACTTTCTATATTAAATTGTTCATTGTTAAGTTTATTTTGTTTTTGCTTATTTTAATTTTAATTTAACATTTTATTTTATTTTTTTTTTTTATTAAATTTTATTTAATTATTTCAGCTTTTAAATATTGTAATAATTATTATAGTTTTTCGTTTTTCTAAATACACACACATATACACTTATGTATGCCACAATATTTTAATATTTTATTTTTAATAAAATGATATTCTCTCACATATATAACGATTTTGTTGCTTGTTTTTTATTATTTTTTTTTTGTTTGTTATATTAACATAATAATTGTGCATATACATAATTTTGTTTTTGATTAAAATATTAATTTTATATATAAATAGTTAGTTAGTTTTATTAACTTTTTATTTCTTTAATAATTTCTGTTGTTATTGATGTAAATATCGGTAGTCAAATATCTTGATTATTTTTATTCGATGTTTGTAATATTGGTTCATTTTTATTTGTTTCATTAATATTTTGTTGATTTCCTTGTTGTCCATGTTGTTCTTGTTGTTGATGTTGTTGTTGATGTTGTTGTAATTTTTGATTTTGTTGTTGATGTTGTGTATTATGATTATCATTTTGATTATGAAAATTATGATTATGATATTGTTGTTGATTTAATTGCATTTGTTGATTTATTTCAAATTCAATATCTTCAGCATCTTCTGGATATCGTTCAGAACAGAATATTGCACCTTCACGTAATAATTTTAACAAGTTAATTCTGTCCTCAGCTGTTCGTTTGGCACACAAGTCTCTGTTTTTTTTTTGTATTAAAATTAGAAAAATGAGAAAAATTTTTAAATATTAATATTAGTGATATTAGCTATATGAAAACAAGAATATAATAAAATTACATAAGAATTATAAACATTATTCGGCATGCATTACTTTCAAAACTTAGTATCTAAACCAGAATATAATTGCAAAAAAAAAACTTAATTGAAAAGCGAAAATATTAAAAAATGTAAACCATAAATATGCCATTTTAATTTTTTTTTAAAACAAAAATTTTAGGTCATGGGACTAAAACATTGTGAAAATCCAAAATTTGAATTTGGCTTATTTAACAATAAACTTTTTGATTCTTATAAATCTAGAGAATTTTCCAAAAATTTCAGAATCCTGAAACTTTAGATCTACAGCAATCTGCCACCCACAAGAATATGGGATGTTAACCAATTATTATTTCAAAAACCAATTATTTCAAAAATCGATTCGAGCCTAAATCAACTTAATAATTTAATAAATTTATACACATAACAGTTATTTAATAACAAAATAATCGAAATAACTATAATTTTAATGGACCATATATTTTTCATTTTTTAATAAAAATACAATATCATTCAGTTTAATATTAAGTATACTTTAAAATTCCAAAATATTAACTAAAATCACGTTTATAAAATATAATACAAGAATTTCATTTCTCAAATTTAGGATATGACACCAGAATTTTCATGTGAAGAAAAATTTATACATTTATACATAATGTATAAATAGTATATTCAATTCAAGGCGCATTATTATAAGAGATACTAAATGTAAATTAAGGATATAAAGTACTTTACGTTTATATACGAAGAAGAAAAATTTGAAAATCTTATTTTATTAATATGATAATCCAATCTTATGCAATATTTTTCAGTACGTTTTTCTCTTTTATTTTTTATTTTAAATTTTTCAAATGATTGCATATTTTTATATATAAATTTCCTTTTTACATTTATTCATAGTACTCATTTTTCAGTAAAGAAATTTGTAAATATTGAGAAAATATTAATATTTTTCAATAGGATTTCTCTTAGCATTGTCGAGGTCAAGTATAAAAATAGAATATAAATTTAAATAAGAAAAGAAAAAGCGTATGCAATTTAATAAAATCTGCATATTATCTCTCAATACTCGTATATAACAGAGAATAAAATTTATTCTATATAGACTCTCTTCAAAATTGCATATTTATTATTTTCTAATGCTCGTAGAATCGAGTTCATTTTTCTATATAATATGGAATTTTTTATCAATAGTCACTTTGATTTTTCCTTTATTTTTTCTCATGGCTTTTTGTAATTTTAATAATTTTTTTTTTTCGAAAAATTTCAATATTTTTCTTTCTCTATTAAACGAGTTAAAATTAAATTTTATTGATATTATTTTTCTAATGCACACAAAAAAAAATTGTTTTATTTGCTTAAATATTTCATTGTTTTCTTTCAGAATTCATTCTTTAAGATTAGATGCGAGAAATTCTCCATTATATAAGATTAATTTCATTGTATGCGTATAAAATATTTGATATGCATGAAAACGAATATATTTCAGTTGTACACGTGTAAACAGTTAATTAACTTAAATCTAAAATTGTAATGAAGAAGCAAAAAAAAAAACAAAATTTATGAATTATGAGAGTTTGAAAAAAATTGTAGGATCAACTAATTTACCATTTAAAAATTTCCTCAAAAATTCAAAACAAATCATTTCATTATAATTTTTGAAAAAATTATAAGAAATTCAAGAAAAAATTATAATTTGAATTCAAATAAAATCTATATTATCTACTATTACATTAAATGAAATTTAAGATGATTTATTAAAAATAAGAGCATAATATCAGATTGGGTAACATATTAGAAACGTGACCAGTTGGATTCCATCTTTACAAAAAAATATCTTAAAATACAATCTAATTCGCAATCTCGAAAAAAAATATTAATCACAGAAAACGCAAAAAAAATTTTCTTTTTCTTTGAAATAAGGCGCAATAAATTAACAAACGTCTTTGAGTTCACATAAATATTTAAAAATTTTCATCACATAAATTCTAATATTAGAATGACAGTATAATCTAAAATAAACAGCTATTAATTATGAGCACCTAAAGCGAATATGTACGCAATAGAGTATAAGGGTACAATAAGTTTAATTAAAATGCTCAAATAAGTTTAATCAAAGATAATCAAAATCTTACTTTGGAAAATCAATTTTAACAAAAAAAGGACACCAACGGTCATTTGATTGGTAAGCCATTCAAGAAACACATAATTTGGGAATCACTCAGCTGAATAAAATTGATGGTAATAATAAAAATCTAAACTACTTCCTTAGTAATCTGACAATTGAGCATATTTCTCTAAAACATTATTTGTTTTTAGGTTTCTCAAATGTAAGAAATTGTTTACATTATAAAGATATTTGAATGAATTCCGATTATAAAACCAATATTTATTATGAAAACAATACCGTCTCTTATATTATTTAAAGTAGATAGTATAGAAAATATTGAGGAGAGATGGTATATAGCATATTGATTACATTAAGAATTAAGCTCTAAGATCAGATAAATATTGATTTATTACAATTTAATATTTTTTGTATATAAGCATATTACATATTTATAATTACTTTAATTTTATGTATATGTATGCATGTAATTTATATACAGATAGAAAAAAAAGAAAAAATAATTTCCAACGTTAAAGAAAACTGTCGGAATAAAGGACTTAATCATTTTAGCTTTTCTTCTGACATTCATTCCATTACATTGTATTGTAAATAAAATGTAGATGTAAAAATTAAAATTTTAAGTAAATTAAATAATGTTTATTCAACAAGGAAAGCCCCGTTGTGACGGTATCAAGAAAATCGACATCAAGAAAACCACTCAAAAAATCACTTGAAAAATTGGAAAAAGGACCACATCTCAGCTTTCTACCATGAGAACAAATCACTAAAAAAAGTCACTCAAAAAATCGTTTGAAAAAGTCACTTAAAAAAATCCCATAAAAAAGGCACTCTAAAAAATCACTAAAAAAGTCACTCAAACTTTCCCGACAAAAACCTGCGTTTAAAGGTCCAGACCCCAGCTTTCTACGTTAAAACGTTTTCATGTTAGAGCCATTCAAAAATGTCATCAGGGGTGTGACCGACAAACAAATTAACATACAACATTGAGCTATTATTATAATCTATTATAATGCTAGGATGAAACTAGGCTAAAAATTCTTTATGATCTAAGTTGAGTTCAAGTATGAAAAAGCAGTAAATCGAACATTATTGTATGCGATGATATTTCCAGTGGCTTTGAAATCATACAGCCTTTCTTTAATTTTTACATATTTAAATTCGAAAAGCTTTGACATGCACTCGAGAAAATTCGAAAAAGAAGAATTTTTAATTTATCATTGAATTTTTTTTTAGAAATTTGCCTTTGTTATTTGAGCATTTATCGAATAAACAATAAACATCTACACCTTTATTATCAAAAGACTAAAAGAAAGTATTGAAAACAAGATATCGGAAACGGAAATTCTAAAACACATAAAATTTTTATTTAATAATCTGTTTAGTTTGAAGAACTTAAAACCTTAACATTGAATTTTATTTAAGTTCTATGTTCTTCCTCTTTTATTTCCGAGTAATTTAAATAATATGCCAAACATGAAATCTGTCCATAATATGACACCATTCCATAAACATATACGCAGACAACATTTTCAAAACAAAATAATCCAACTATAAAACAAGAATACAAAAACTTTAATTTCCTATTGTAAGAGAAGAAAAAAAAATTAAAGTGTTTTTGTTAAACATACAAGTACTCTAGCTATGTGAAAATATTTCTTATAATAAAAATTTTATTTTGAAATTTAATGCAATCCTATATTACGTATATATATATTATGCCTTGTATTTACACCTACTCCCACACAATATTTTTTTAATACATTGCCACTCGACACTTATTAAATATTCAGTATACAATAAAATTTTTGGAAAATATTCACTCATAAGTTCTCAACAATACTATACACTTGTTTTCCTAATTTATTCTTGTTACAACATAATATGAAAATTTAAGAAGGAGACAACAATCAAAACAAAAAAAAATATAATAATAATAAAATCTGTGCATACACAATCAAAAAAGAATTCATAAAAATTCAAAATATTCAAATTTCTAAGAATATATTCAAAGCGAAAAATATTACGAAACATTAAAATAATTCCGAGAAATTATGGGTTAAAAGGAAAACGGAAATCGAGAAGGATTTCCAATAAACAAAAAAAAAAATTGTAGTTTATAGTTATAAAATGAGAAGAAGAGATGCCAATTACAAATGAATCGGATTTGATTTGACAATATTTACTCTGGTTGAAGGATAACTTCGAATATACATTTGAAAAAAAATAATAAAATTAACAACAAAAAACTTACAAAAATATTATTAATTACGATTTTAAAATAGCACAAATTTAAAAATTTATTAAGGAATTAGAACAGTTTCCTTGCTAACAATATTCCTTGTCCATAAATCGGGTTTAGGTACTCTTTTTTTCGAACAGACCATCATTAAGCTGCACAAAAGGCACAAATTCTTCTACTCTGATAGAGCTCCAAATTCGACCCAATATTTTTTTTCAAATAATAAAATATTTAATTATTTTTAAATGAAACTCGATATTTTTGATACATAACTTGAGATTCTTCAAATTCGGCAACTTCAAATTAACTCAGTTTGGTTTGCCGTTCCAATTTGCAGAATTGACACCTAGACAGCCATTAAAAAACATTAATATTAAAACAAATAATAATTTAGAGTACGTTCATTGGGCAATTAATCTCATGATTTGAATTGATCAATTGGTCGATATTTATTAATTGGTCGATATAAATTCTATGTTCTATGGTGGCTACTTGAAATATATTATTTTTAACGTAAATTCACACCATTCAAGCCTGGACTCATATTG